GGCCCCCCCCCCCCCCCCCGCCTCATGGTGATAGCCATACTTTTTTGTGTAGCACAGAGGTCATCCCAGAGTGTTGAGTACATTTGTAGAAATGAGTGTATGGAGTATCTTCTTAGCACATGGGCACTTCAGTTTGAGACCATAAAAGGCTAACAAACTTTACTATATATTTGTGGTTCTTGACAGATAAGATGAGAATTACTAAGCTGTAATCAGGCCTACAGTGGCTTGATTTAATACAGAGACTTTCTCACATCTCCATCACAATTATTTGTGTAGCTTCAGCTTGCAGCATTGTAAGTGAATACTTACATATCTCATCAGCCTATGTTAAGCGTGGCAATTAGAAGCTTGAGGCAATGGCAGTAGCTAAGCCTCACTTGTCATGGAAGAAACAAGTCTTCAGTACCTTAGGTGGTCATAAACTTGGAGTGCATCTTATTTGTAGTAGGCATTGGTCTCCCAAGTAACTAGTAACTTCAAATCACCTAGAAGAGATTGTTCTCTTTCCCCATAATCATAATCCCTACGTGCTAAAGCCATATTCACATAGGACCTCAGTTTTATGCCAGATACATATAAATCTTATAGAATTAACGTTGTACTGAGCAGATGATACAACAGATTTTTCTTGCCTAGATATCTGGATGAAAGAAATGTTCACCATTTGTGTGATGGTAAACATTACAAGGCTAAATTTCCTGGCCAGTGGTTGTCCTATTTTGTTTAAAGGTAGTTTTAATAACAGTGTACTTTAAATATATTTTTATCAAGCATCTATTAGGTACAAAACACTGCAAAGCTTATGTAAATCATGCCTAGGCCTACCACCACATTGTTTCCTATGTGAATTGGGAGAGTTTGGTGAGGGATAGACTAGTTGCATGTAAGAGTGCATGATTTATGATCAAACTACTTTAATTAAGAACTAGACCAATTGTTTTTGGTTTTTTTGGGGGGGAGGGTTGTTGTTTTTGTCTATTTTTTTTTGTTGGAGCTGGTCTCGTAGCTCAGGCTGGCCTTCAACACTGAAGGCTGGCCTTAACCTCCTGATCCTCCTGATTCTGACTCCAAAGTTCTGGGATTATAGGGATGTGCCATCATGCTTGGCCCCAAATGATCAACTGGGATAAAAGTACAAGCTTCACTGAATAAATGATGTTTGAAAAATAGATCAAATTCCAAGAGAAGTTGGAGTGAAGTGGAAGTGCGGTTGGTCTGTGTAGAAGGAATGGATGAGCTTAGGCATGGAAAGCTAAGTAGGAAATGCTTTGTCATTTATTTAGTAACTTAGGGGAAATTGTTTTATTTAGTAACACTTAAAAAAATGTTTAGCTTTGCAGTTCCTGACCCTTTAATGCCTGACCCATCCAAACAACCAAAGAACCAGCTTAATCCTATTGGTTCATTACAGGTAAGTTAGTTTTCCTATACTATTTTGTCTACTGATAGATGGTATAATAAATTTGTACTACCATAGGGGCTAAGATAAGCAATTAATATTTTAGATTAGATGGTGAAATACTTTGCTCTCTAAGTTATAATCATTAGATTTTATACATTTAGCTTGAAATTATTTTCCTATTAATTTGCTGGGAGTTTTCTCCATGTTCAGTATTTTCCTTTGTTTTATAAAATTGTCACTTGACATGAGTAGGACCTTGGTGCACATGGGTGGAGTGTTGTACACTTGATCTTAGCCAAAAGGCCAAGAAGGAAGTAGTTGAGTAGAGTGTTTTCTACTGTAAGGATATTTCTTGCCACTTCATAACAAGCCCTTTTCTACTTCTGTTGAGTAGACTTTACAAAGAACCAGAATTGAGTAATCTTAACTCAAGAAGAGAGGTAGCCCACTTGTTTATTCTACCAAAAAAGAAACGGAAAAATATATGGACATGCACACATATATTCAGCTTTGAGTAGGAAATGTCTTGAATATATCCTATGCTTAGTTGGGCCCTCATCCATCCTGACCTTTGGCCTCTTCTGCTCTGAATTTTTCTATTGTTTCTTCACATTCTGAATGTGAGCTCATCCAGGTCTGTTTGGTGGCTGTCACTGCTTACCTGCTTTTGAAGTGGTGAGATGGCTGTCAGTCCAAAAATCCATAGCTAAGATGAGAGAGGCTTTAGGAACTGTGGGCAGGGAAACCTGTAGGTATCCCTTCTCATGTTCCCAAAAGACTGCCAGTAACCTGTCTCTTTGGACTTTGGCATCAGCTCACGGTGATGTAATAGAAAAGTGCTGTTACTAGTACAAAACAGCTCTAGTTTTGGTACTGTGATATAAAGATATAAATATGGGAATGTCTGTGGGAAATAGCAGGGTATTCCCTCATTTTTCCATTGCAGAAAACCACAGTTCTTTCTAAGTACATTTTTAGAAATGGAATCAGAGGTGCTAGAGAGATGGCTCAGCAGTTGAGAACACTGGCTGCTCTTGTAGAGGACCTGGGTTTGACTCCCTACACCTACATAGTGGCTAACAACTGTCTGTGATTCCAGTTCCAGGGGATCCAAAGTCTTCTGGCCCTTGCAGGCATTGCACACATAGGTACACTTACATACATGTAGGCAAAACACTCATACACATTAAAAAAAAAAAAGGAAATGGAATTAGAAAGGACTATTATTCATGTGGTTAAGACATTGCATAGTAAAAATTCCTATTATGGCCTAATATTGATTTTTCAGGAATTGGCTATTCATCATGGCTGGAGACTTCCTGAATATACACTTTCCCAGGAGGGAGGACCTGCTCATAAGAGAGAATATACCACAATTTGCAGGCTAGAATCATTTATGGAAACTGGTACTTATTTCTTAAAATTAAAGGCATTTTCAGTATTTTCAAATGATGAGCAACCATAGAAATTCTGTCATATATCTTTTTGAATAGATATGGGGGAATATTGATGCTTCTTTTCCGCTATCTCTGACTTTCTAAGAATAGTTGTATGAGTTACATTCTAAGTTTTTAAATCCATAGAGTTTTAAATATATAAAACAAAAGTACAGGAAAAATTTATAATGTCTTTAAAATTCCAGCATCTTCTATTCCCTGGTTAATGTTAAAAAATTTCACTCAGTTACCAGCTTATAAAAAATTATAAGCCGGGGCTGGAGCGATGGCTCAGTGGTTAAGAACACTGATTGTTCTTGCAGGAGACCCAGGTTCGAATCCCAGCACCCACATGGCATCTAACAACTGTCCGAAACTCCAGTTCCAGGGGATTCGACAGCCACTTGTCCTCCGCGGGCATTGCATGACACGGGTGCACTTACCTACATGCAAGCAATATACACATACATATAAAATAAAAATAATTAAAATAAATAAATAAAAGATTATAAGCAAGAAATGGACATTGAGAGTTAGGGGTTGTAATATGAGTATATTTGATAAATCTGAATAATTGGTCAGAATTAAACCAAATATGGTTCATAGGCTAGGTACATCAAAATATAAGTGCTAAAAATACCTATTTTAAAAAACTGCTAAAGAAAAGAAGTATGGGCTTGGGGAGTTAAGTAGGTAAGTGCTTGCTGCGTAAGCATGAGAGACTGAGTTTGAATCCCTGGCACCCACTTTCTAGCTGGGCATGGCAGCATACGCCTGTAACCACAGTATTAGGGGTTGACGAGAGCATAGTAAGGTGGGTCCTGGGGATGCACTGGCAGCCAGTGAGCTGAAATAGTGAGGTCCGGCTGGGTTCAGTGAAAGACTCTGCTCAAAAAAAAAAAAAAGATGAAGAGGAACAGAGGAAGACACCCAACATTGACCTCTGGCCTCTATCTGCACACACATGGGTTGCTCACCTCCACATACATGCATGTATTCACATGCATACATTACACACATAACCAAAATAAAAGTATTTTCAAAAATACAAGAATTAATGAGGGCCTGGAGAGATGACTCAGCCTTCAAGAGTGCCCTGCTCTTGCAAAGGACCTGAGTTCAGTTTCCAGCACCCATGTCAGGCAACTCACAGCTGCCTGCAGTTCTAGCTCCAGAGGTATGGCCTCTGAGGGCACGGCACTCACCTGCAAGACCCACACTCTGACACACACACATACACATAATTAATGATAATAAAAGAATGCTTATTTGGGAGCTAGTGGTATAGTTCAATGGTAAAGCACTTCCCTGGCATATGTAGGGCCCTGGCTTTAACCCCCAGCACTACACACACACAAAGAATAGTTATACACATGTAGGTGTGTGCATACAGAAACATATACACACATGTGTGTATGTATATAGCAACAAACAGAAATGTTAGGTCAATAAGAAAATAGTGGGCTAGTGCATGAAAACCCTGAGCTGTGCACTAATTAAACACAATGCTGTACACATTTGGTCATCTGTGGACATTGATTTCTAAATCTACTGTTTCTTTTTCTTTATTTAGGAAAGGGGGCATCAAAAAAACAAGCGAAGAGAAACGCTGCTGAGAAATTCCTTGCCAAATTTAGTAATATTTCTCCAGAGAACCACATTTCTCTAGTGAGTAATCAGACAGTCGTGATTCTAATGTGATCAAGCATCTCTTTCTTTAGGAACTGTTCCTTCATTTCTTGTATAGATACTTTAGAGTTGCAATTTTTAAAAACCTCCTCTTTGTTGAGTTATACACATCCCCAATTTTTCCTGTCTCCCACACATGAGCCAAAGTTTGGAGGTGTTCATGTAAGAGGACTTGGGAGATACAGTAAATTCAGAATCATAGGATGGGATCTGAAAATGATAATTCAGCTAAGTGTGAGATTCAGTGGAAGACTTTGTGCTTAGCATATATGAGGTCCTACATGGAAATAAAATTAGCAGAAACAGTAGCCAGTAGTATCATTTTTACACATTTCCATTCCTTTGTTTGTTCATTTATCTGTCCACTCAGCAGTCATTAGTGAGCTCATACTGTGCCATGGTTGGTAGCAGGGACACAGTGCATAGCATAGCCAGCTTCAGCCCCTAAGGGGTTTATAGCCTGCCAAAAGAGGAAAGTACACCACAAACTCATCCTTATAGCAGGTGATGCAAAAACATTGGAAGAAGGCATCCAATCCAAACTGGGGTTTCCAGAGGGCCTCAAGGAGGAAGTAACATCTAAGCCAAGACCTATAGAGTAAGAATAGGGGAAGCAGCCAGGCGTGGTGGAGCACACCTTTAATCCCAGCACTTGGTATGCAAAGAGAGATCACATCTTACATCGACTAACTAAACTAAAGGGATTGCTATTTGTACTGAGGGTAGTAGTACAAAGTCAGTAAAGAATTTTAATCTGGCATGGAAAGGATCTAATTTATATGTTAGAAAGAAATTGGCTGGATTATAGCAAGTAAATGAACATTAGGATGAGAGAGACCCACTACAATGCTGTTGAAGAAAGCAGAGGAAGGCTGGGTATGGTAGTACATGCCTTTAATCCTAGCATTTGGGAGGCAGAGGCAGGCAGATCTGTGAGTTCAAGACTAGCCTAGTCTACATAGTGAATTCCAGGTCAGCCAGAGCTGGAAATGAATGAGGAAATGAGTATATTTTAAAATAACTTTCAGAGCAACTGGAAAAATGGGTGACTGGCTAAGAGCACCATAGAGAACCTGGGTTTGATTTCAACATCCACATTGAGTGGCTCACAACCACCTGTAACTCCAATTCCAGGGGATCTGACACCCTCCTCTGGCCATTGCAGGCACTGCGCATATGGGATATGCATACAGACAAGTAGGCACACACACAAATTTAAATGAGTTTAAAAAATTTTTAAAGTAAAATTACGCTCAGAAAACTGGTCATTGGTGTAGAGAGTAAGGAAAAGGAGGGAGTAAATATTTAGCTTGGCGCTAAATAGATGATGGCAGGTTTAATAAAGGTGAACACAGAAGAATTTGGGGGATAGGGTATGTTGAGATTGATATGTGTAGAATATTCAAGTGTAGATACAGAACAGATCAGACTGCTCCAGAACATGGAGCTTATGAGAATGGGCTACATGGGATACGTACGTTAGGGTTCTGCATTCACAGCTAGCTATGAGGAATGGCATATTAGGTGGGAAAGGAGAAGCCACAGCTACAGCCTTGTCCTTACTGAGTTGATGGTAAAATGATGGCTCGTTTATAGAAAACAAAGCTAAGATCGAGGCATGTAAGTAGTGTAATTTTAGCTTCTTTTTTAAGAAACATTGCATTTATTTCTTTTTATGTTTGAATCAGAGGTAACACTAAAATCACAAAGCATAGATAGGATTACAGGTAGTCTTTATCGAATCTTTAGGGAAGATATAATTTCTAATGCTGTTTAAACTCTTCAAGATAATATATACATGTAACATGAGAGGGATTTCTATTGCCCTCCCAAACCAATATAACATAAACCCCAAAGCTTGATGATAGAAAATCTCCACAGGAAAATAAAATTCACAGCCTCATTCCCCCAGAAGGTAAAGCACCTGCATAAAGTATACAGTAGAGCGTTAGAAGGTTAGAAGGATGCACCATAGGCAACAAAAGTTTAGTTCACAGATGCAGGGATCTTTCAAAGTTAGTTAAATTTTTTACTATAACTAACCAAAGGAAAAGAAACAACCTTTCAATGGATGCTAAAAAGATATTTGCTGAAATTCAGGAATCATTACTGATTTTACAAATACTAAAATCATGGTTACATATTTCTACATCATACTTATTCTCATTAAAATCAGAAATAAAACAGGATACCCAGTAATACATTTTTATTAGGCCTTGTTCTAGAAATATGAACCAACAAAATTAGATGACAAGGAGCAACATGAAGTTGGAAACAAGACAAGAGGAGCTGTGATTCTAGCTGCAAATAATCTGATCGTATCCTTGTAAAGCCCTGGAGAGCTGGGTGCAGTGGCATACTTAGAAGGCAGACACAAGAGGATCAGAAGTTGAAAGCTATCTTTGGCTACAGAGCAAGTTTAAGGCATCTAGACTACAAGAGTCCCTGTCTCAAAACAGCACAAAAGCAAAACAACAGTAACAACAGAGTACCTACTGGAGACAGAGAATTCATCAGGGTAGCTAATCATTAAATTAGTGTACAAAATCAGTAGTTTTCATATTATTTAGCATTATGAAGGTAACAATCAGAATAATTAAAAAGAGAAAGCTAAAAATGATTGCTTCTGGGAAGAAGATTGTAGGGAGAGGGTGAAGCAAGGGATTGTCACTACCATACTTGAGAACTATTTAATTTAATTTCAGGGGCTAATGTAGGTATTTTTAAGACTTATTTTAATTTTATGAGTGTTTTGCCTGCATGTATGTACATGCATCTGTATTGTACAATTCCTGTGGAGGCCAGAAGAAGGCATTGGGTACCACTGTACCAGTGGGCTTGCTGGTCAGCTGGTTTAGCTGAATCAGTGAGCTCTGTGTTCAAAAAATAAGGTGGAGACACTGGAGAGATGGCTTAGCAGTTAAGATCATTGACTGCTCTTCCAGAGGACCCATGTTCAATTCCCAATACCCACATGGCAACTACCATCCATAACTCCAGTTCCAGGGGATTTGATGCCCTCTTCTGGCCTCTGTGGGTACTGTATGCAGATGGTGCACTTATATACATGCAGACAAAACACTCATACACATAAAATAAAAATAAATAAATCCTAAAAGTAAATAAATAAGGTGGAAGAATTGAGGAAGATACTCAATGTTGGCCTCTGGCCTCTGTTCATACAAAGTGCACATATACATATATAACACACACACAGAGAAGAAAACTTGATCAGACTGCCACTTTATGGAAAAATAATTTATTCTGAAAGGATATATTTAAAAAAATTAATGATTTTCCTGTTTATAAATTGTAAGAGCTAGAATAGAAAATATCCATTTTCAACAGTAAAAATAGGAGACCTGTGTCTGGGGAATACACTTAAAAGGAAATATGCACAGACTCATTTAAGGAACAGTTTGAAATTCTATTGAAGAATATGATGGAAATTAGATGAATGTGGCACTCTTTCTTTTTGTCAGAGCCTTAGTATCGTAAATATATAAAAATGTAAGTAGTCTTGCTCAAAATCTACCAGAATTCAGTTTGTACCTGAATTGGACTTTACTAGGCTTAGCTGGAAAAACAAACCTTTGAGAATTGTCAAGAAACCTAAATAGTAGGGATTTGAGGTGGGCTGGGGGTGCTCTGGAGGTAAGCACCTTCCCAGAGAATAAAGTATACTGTAAAACTGTGGCCGTTAAACAGGTTAGTGGTGGAAAGATAGACAGGGTAGCACAGAATCCAGGCGTGCATGTAAATGCACAGAGAGACACAGTGGTGACAGTGAAGTTTCAGATCACTAGGTGGGACGGTGATGGCCTATGGCCATATATGAGAATGGGCTATTTGTGTATTGGTGTACACATCATATACTTAGATTGCTATCTTATTCCTTATATCAAAATAAATTTCAGATTGATCAAGGATTTGAACATAGGAATTAAAAAGTGTTAAGTATTAGAAAACATGGAAGATCTTTTTAAAATCTTAGGATATGGGAATCCTTTTTAACCATAACTTAGAATCTAGAATCTTAAAGTAAATGATTCATAAATTTGACTAAAGTGTACTATACAAGCCAAAAATCTGCAAGGTTAAGAGAATAAAAACAAAAAGGAAGAAGTAATCCTTGCCACATGTGCAGCCCTTGCATATCTTTTTTTTTTTTTTTTTTTTTTTTTTTTTTCTTTTTTTTTTTTTTTTTTTTTTT